ACAAGAAGATGTATCTAATTTCATGAAATGAATACTACCAAATGCACAATCAAAAGTTGACCTCAACACAGTGATGCCTGGCATGGGTGAGGTCCATAGACAAGATGCTTTCCTTTGCTTTCCATACCTGAATGCTGTATGCTGAGGCAGCTATGATCCAATCCTCATTTCATCTCCCTCCAGTTCCTGCTGTGGAACCTCTAAAGTCTGAATACCTTAACCCTGTCCCTCAGCCAGGGTATTTTACTACATTGTTATAGAAACAACTGCCCAGGCTCAGCTTACCACTTCGAAGCTTGGCTCATGACTTCGGTAGCACTAAAATTGATCCTGTGTGCTCCTGCCCCTGGTCAGCTATGATCTGTTCCATGAGACAGGACTCCCTTTGGATTGATTTGGTGTACTAATGAACGATATGCTAGAGATTCAAGTCAGCTTTCTTTTCTTGACTCTACTTCAAACAAACTACACCCGATGCTTTGACTTTGACAATCAGACTAAAACAAAAGATAAAAGAGTTCAGCGTTGTTTCAAACTTGGCTGAAGATAAGTTGGAGAAGCATCAGGAAGTTGCCCAGATTCCTGGACTCAGTTATTACCACCCAAGATCTTATCATGTCCTTTCAAATATTTTCAGAAGGTGGGCAGGAATAGTGCCTAAACTATGTGTGGCAGAGACACCAACATTCATATAAAAAGAAGTGCCTGTTTTGAGAGACTTTGGAAGTTGACTTTCCTCTTGGATAAAAATTAATATTCACATTCTAGAATTAAATAGTTTTTCGCTGAAAAATACAAACCCCCATAAATTATATATACTCTTGATGGATAATTTTCTACATATATATGTTAATCCTACATAATTCTCATGTTTATGATTCTTATTTGAATTCAAATTAGATTTTTTCCGATTATTGATTTCTACAAAAAAGGAACATGCCCCAAACCAAATTATTTTCTCCCAAACTCAAGTTGCATAAAGGTTTTGATCTTTAATAATGTCCCAAATATCAATAATGCAAACATAAAAGCAATATAATAATAGGATGAACAAAGTATTAAAGCCTCAGATTGCTCAATTTTATTGGATTAAAATTTCAGTTTCCAAATATGTTGGAAGGAACACCAAATAGCAGAATATCAATAGCACGAAATGTGAGTTATAATATGGAATACCACATCAATCTACAATTCTAACAAAAGTTGAAGATGAAAGAATTGTTAGTGGAAAGAAAAAAGATAATATTAGATGAATATAATAGATTGTCTACAAGACATAGGGAATTCGGTTTTAATATTATAAGAATATGGAGACTTAACAGTTGAAGTCTAAAAGGCAGTGCCACAGACTGATCTATAGCAAGAAGGTTGGAATGTAGTAGAAGCTAAGTATGCAGGATAGTAGAACCTGGGCCCATACCACAGGGAAGGAAAGTCAGAGACACTGCAATTCAGAGATCTGAAGCCACTGGGTCCACACCCCACTGAGTAGCATTTTCTAGATCCATAGCCCAGGGAACGGCAGCTGCTGGATCCAAAGCCCAGACACCCAGCATATGTCCCCTGACAGGGACTGCAAGGTGTGGAGCTCCTGGGGTAGTAGCAGGCTGTCTGGCAGGGGCTGGACACCACACAGGACCTGTGGCAGCTGGTGGGCTCAACGCAGGTCTCCTGACAGCCACTGTTGAGAGAGGGGCCCAGCTGGCAGCTGCTGGGATAGCAGCTGGTGGTGGTGTAGACCAGGTTGCTTGGGTAGGAAGAGCCACAGGAGGAACCTGAGGAGGGCAAGCTGTGCTTAAGAGAGCGGGAGAAGTTTGCAGAGCAGCAGCTGTAGGCCATGTTGAGAGGAGATGTGAACTCAGCTGGATATACCTGAGAGGATTCTGAGTATGAATGTCACCCTGTGGAGAGCTAGGTATATATACTCTCCACAACCGGTGTGGTACCCAATAGTCTCATCCTCGATGCATCTGTGTACTTCCTGGTTTACAAATGTGCAGTTGTATTCAAATAGTTTTCTGAACAGTGTTTTTATGGGTGTTGCAATTTTCTTATGGTTACAACAATGAGCTATTGCTATGTCATAGATGCTATGACAGTTTTACGCTGATGCTTATTCATTGTGTCCCAGAAAAATCTCTCCTTTTCCTATTGGCCTGATGTTTGTATGTTTGGGAAAATGTTCTGAAGAACACTGTTTTCTTCCATTGCTAAGAATGAGAGGAATTCACTCTTCTTTTTGTTGATGAACTGGAGGAATCACTTTTGTTCCCTTTGAAACCTATTGAAGATCACCTTACCCTGTGCCATCAGTTCTCATCCTTGTGGATGCATAGCATTTCCCATGTAGTACTTCATCTCCACTAGCAAGGACAGAGTGTGAGCAAAGTAAATTGAATGAGACTGTACCTAAAAGTAGGGAGAAAAAAGCAGGAATTGAAGCTGGGTTCAGAGCAAAGACAGCACTGAGGCAGAGTCACAATTGCAGGGCATTTTGGCCCTCCTGAATGGATTCAAAGGTATTACAGAAGTAAACCATTTCATACCTTCTGTATCTGACACGTGTCCTGAGAAGACACAGTGTTCACATCTGAGTTTGTGCCAACATGGACTAGACAGTTTGAACAATGTCAAACACAGGACACTCAGCTGACTATTGTCCTCCACACTGTGGGGTCTGTAGAAACCTTGGTTTGTATGAATGCACCCAGGTAGTGACTGAGTCTAGGGAAATTCATGGATTCTGAGGGGATGCTGATGGCAACTGTAACACAGGATGCAGGCACTGAGAGGCTGTGTTGCTCTTAGAGACTCTTGTTTTTGTTGAGCCCTGTGTTAGGGGAGATTCTGAAGACAAAAATCAAGTTCAAAAAATGTCAACATATCTCTCTCATACAGCTTTGAAAATAAAAATTATTTTTGGTAGATATCAAAGAATTCTGATACCTATTTAGTATTCAACATGTCAAACAAGGTTGAGAAAGAAAGAATTTCAATTGTTTGCTGTTTTGTAAAATCTCAGAGTTTTATTTTGGAAGCTGTGTGCAGGCTACATTTAATAATATCTACAAAACCATTTCCATGCTCTCACATATACCAAGTATACATGCAAGAGTAAAAATAATATAGAAAGACTGGTTTGAAAAGTGAGAGCTTAATATTAGCCGGTGAAGGGACATGCTGATGAATCAATGTGATGCATATGTTTTCTTGTTGTTTGTTTAAAATCATGTCATTTTATGGCAATTCAATGTTTTCTAACCTATATCTAAAATTTAACCCAAAGTTCTGCTATATATTCAAATTATAAATTAAAAGCCAATGAAACCAAGACTTACTAATAATGACAGACTAGACAGTGGTGAAAGTAGTTATGGACAAGCTACAGAAAACCTTAGTTTTCAACATTATTTGGGATACATATTGTTTTTCACATTTAATATTTTTAATGTTAATTTGTGGAATGGTGCCATTTGGCTGGAAATAATATCAATTTGTATTTAGTGATATTATCAAGATGTGTTTCCTTTATCATCACTTAGACAGCAAATTGGCTGGCTTTAGTAGGATCCTTTGAACCAGACAGTGAAATCAGTTGTTGGAATTATGCTTTTGAGAACTTGCTTCATCTAATATGAAATTGATTTTACATTACCCAAGAAGGTGATATTCTTTTGCATGAGTAGATTGGTGTGTTATTTGTTATGGCAGAATGTTGTTTCATTGCTTCTCTGGGTAAAGATGGAAAACTGTATTATTGCTATGGGTGAGAACAATTTAAAATAGTTGCATTGCTATGCATAAAGCTGAGGCATCAAAACATTCTCTCATCTGCTAAGATCAATTGATAATTTTAAAAGCACTGTCATTTCCTTTTTACTATTGGGAAGCGTACACAGTTATATGAGCAGAGGCCCAAAATTGGTGTAAGTAGACATAGACATAGACTAGATGTAAGCTCCAAATTGGAACTCTTATTCTTTTCTTTGTTTTAAGTAATCAACTAATTTATTATTTAAACACTTTCATGTAATATACTTCCTTCACTTCTTTCTTGTCTCTCAACTGCTAGTAGATCCTCCCTATGTATCAACTTCATTTTTCTCTCAATCTCTCTCTCAAAATGTAAACAAAATTATAAAGTACATAGGCAACTGACAAATAATTATTTATCAGCCCCATTAATCATGACCATGCAAAAGAATACATCTGAATTCTACCTGTTAAACAACAGATTTTGTTTGAACAATATAAGCATGATTGGACTTATTCAGGGTTTGCATGGTGTTTTAGTTCTCCAGAGTCTTCCCATTGAGAGGATTCAGGACAAAGGGACAAAGTCAGAGACCTATGTAGTAAAGTGATTGTGACTCAGCCTCAACTCTCTCACCTGTGATCACAAATTTTCAAATATCATTTAGTTTTCCTTCACTCATATTGTTTCCTTGACACCAGAACTAAGTGATAGAGAGGATGCCATGCAGTCCACATGGATTGTTGGAAACTGAGAAGGTCCATATTCAGAGGGTTTCATAGGAAACACAAAAATGATTCCAATTCATTAACAAGAAGAAGAGCAAATTACTGTCATACCACACACTGTGAAGAGAGGTATTTTCCTCATAACATCCTATGACAAAACTCATAAAAGCTATGTCAAATGGAAAAGGAGGGATTTCTTTGCAGGACATGATACAACAGTCATTACTGTAAAACAGTGATGGCATGTCTGGCATAGCAGTAGTTCATTATCTTTTATTTTAATAAAATGACAACACCCATAAACATGATGTAGAGAAAACTATGCAAATGCAATTGTAATTACAGAAATTACTAAGGTCCACATTTTAAACCAGGAAGCAGCACACAAATGCATCAAGGATGAGACTATTGGGTACCACACCTGTTGTGGAGAGTATATATACCTAGCTCTCCACAGGGTGACATTCAACACAGAATCCTCTCAGGTACATTAAGCTGAGCTCAAATCTCCTCTCAACATGGCCTACAGCTGCTGCTCTGGCAACTTCTCCTCCCGCTCCCTTAGGCGCTGCCTGCCCTCCTCAGGCTCCTCCTGTGACTCTCCCTACCCCAGCAACCTGGTCTACACCACCACCAGCTGCTCTCCCAGCACCTGCCAGCTGGGCTCCTCTCTCAGCAGTGGCTGGCAGGGGACCTGCCCAGCTGCCAGAGGTCCTGTGTGGTGTCCAGCCCCTGCCAGACAGCCTGCTACTACCCCAGGAGCTTCACACCTTGCAGTCCCTGCCAGGGGACATATGCTGGGTGTCTGGGCTTTGGATCCAGCAGCTGCCGTTCCCTGGGCTATGGATCTAGAAGCTGCTACTCAGGGGGCTATGGGTCCAGTGGCTACAGATTTCTGAATTGTGGAGTCTCTGGCTTCCCTTCCCTGGGTTATGGTTACAAATATTGCTACCCAAGCTACTTAGTGTCTGGTTCCTGCCAACCTTGTTACAGACCAATCTGTGGATCAGGTCTTTATGGAATCAGATGCTAAGCCTTTATATTCTCATATGTGAAAGTCTATGCTCTAAAGCTATTGTTTTCCCTGATTAATCCCTAATGATACCATATCATTGTTCCATTTCCAACTTCTTTCTTCTTCAACTGCCAGCTGATCATAAGTTTGGTGTCACGCACAACTCTGCCCTACTCTGTATTGTTGCCATAAACAGGTGCTGTTTGCTTTCTATCCATTTATTAAATTTGTGCAATCTGACATCTTCATGTGTTGTTCACATTATTATTACATCACTCATACTTTTGCCCTTATGGTTTGGAAGATTTAGAAAGATCAGTATGATTGTCCAACTGAATTTGGGTATATACACTTTTTGATTAGTTTGCTTTTCTTTCTCAACAGTTTTCCATTCAAGGAAAATCATCATTCATGTCCAAACAACAGAGCTCAACTAGAGTGTGAATTGTCTGATATTAAAGTATAAGAATGTCTAATGAGCCAGGAAAACAAAGCAAATAAAATGTGAACTAGAACTGTAAACAGCAAGAATGAGATATTTCATAATTTACAAGGTGAAGTCTGTACATAGGCAAAATATTCAGTCTAGATTTTGAATGTAGATTTTCAATCAGGAGAAAGTAACTTTGAACAACTCTCAGTACAAACAGACATTAATGAATTGCTGTACATGCCTCTTGTGTTTGGCTAATGACAGATGCATCTCATCCACCCCCATAAGGACAATGGCAATCATCTTGATTCATGAGATGCTAGGAGCCTCCTGATACATCCCAGGCTCAACTACAATCAACCAAAGGACAGGGCTATGTTTTCTATGAAGAGGCTGAAATTACTAGGCTTCTTCTGTGTCTCAAAGAGAGTTGGGTACAATTTACGAGACATAATATCTTAAAGAAGATTGAAGAGTAAATGTGTCATGGGAATTCAAGGGGAAAAAAGGAAAAAAATCACTGAAAATATTCATTTTTACTGAACTACTAGAGTGCTGTATTCTAGAAACATTCAGTCCTTTTTAAAGATTCTTGAAATTGTCTACTACCATGTATGAAGCACGGAAGGGCATTTTTTCCTTACTTCTATGTTTTATTAGTTGATGTTCATAATTTTATAAACTCTCACAAATATCAAAGTGAGAATTGGCAGAGGATCCTTCCTTGTAAATTTTGAGATAAAAAAGTACCCAAAGATATATTGAGCATTTATCCATAATCAATGTAAAAAAAAAAAAAAACAAAATCAGTGAGGCTAGTGAAATAGGTGTAAAAGAGGAAATCAATTCATAGGAAATGATTTCCAGAATAGCAGAAGCCCCAGAGACTTTAGGCACCAGGAGTTTCATATATATATTTTGCTATCTTAATAAGTTATAACAGGATTTGATTTAAAAACACAACTTTGGCCAAATAAAAACCCATTCTGTACTTCATTGTCGTATTGTGTGAAATACAATTTTTTTCTCACACATCTAATGATTCCATGAGAATTCTTTGTGTAGTATTATCTTGATATATGTAGAATATTATCACAGAATATCACACACAGGCCATGGCCTACAGTGTTATGGGGGATTTAAACAGCCTCATTTAAAAAAGACTAAAATTACAATGATGCAACAGTGAGTGGTGAAGTCAATGACTTGGTAACTAGGGAAAACTTAGTCTGACTACTATATATATATATATATATATATATATATATATATATATGTGTGTGCCATGACATCATCAGTTCTAAAGGCATTTACATCACTGTAACAAAAGTAGTGAAACTTTGAAGAGCTTTATTAGGGTTCCTTGGACTGCCTTGTGAAATCAAATTGCTAGAATTAAATATGTATTTGAAACACTAGGCAACCATAAAGTGAAACTGACTGTATTGTAACCCTCAGCGATATTTTTCTTTTGCTAATGACATGGCAGCATACAGTCAGTGAGCTCCATTGTTTGGTATTTTTTGGTTGTTTGTCTTTATTCATCCAAATATAAAATTAAAAGATATTTTATTGACATGAAAATTATTGAAAACAAATGAAATGTGTTTCAAAGTCCCATGTCAACACATCTTTCTATCTCTATAGCAATTCTCCTATGTTTAATCTTTTAAAGGATACATGGTCACTATGCATAATGTGTTCCATTCCCTCAAAGTGAGTTGTTTCATCAGGTTGGAAGGTCATTGATATTTGAACCATTTTATTCCAGTGTCAGACTTTTTAATTTTATATCTTGATGATATAATTTTAAATTGATCATGTTGATATATCTTTTTTGTTCAAATTAACTTTGTTTTCCTTACATCATTGCATCAAATTTTAAGTTGATTTGACTTTGCCTGTAATGAATGGCCCTAGAATTTGGATTATGATTTCATTGAACGCATATATAACTTTTGGTAGAATGGACATTTTCACAAGATGATTGTTTTTTCCCAATCTGAGAACAGGGAAATTCTTTTCATCTTCTATAGGCTTCTATCACATATTTTTATCGTGTTAAGGCTTTCATTGTAGAAGTCTCTCATTGTTTATGTTGGTTTTTAAGTATATTTCTGTGGCTATGAAGACTGGTTGCTTGATATGCTTTTAGTGTGTTCTATAATGGGTATATGGGAAGGCAATTGATATTTTATTAGTCTAAATTTTATTTAGCCATTTTCTGGAATTACTTCTCTTGGGTGGTTTTTGTATCAAGAATAATGTTATCTGAATATAGGGATAGATTGACTCCTTGTCTTGATATTTAGTTCCCTTTTCCTGACCTTAATGAACACTTTCCATCTCTCTCCACCAAACTTGTTGCCCATAGGCTTGTCATATACGAGCTGTATTGTGTTAAAATAAACTCTCCCCTATCTAACTTCCTCATAATATTTATCATAAAGGAAGATTTCTTTTAATTTAATGGTAATACTTTTCTGCTGTCAAAATAATTTCCCCTAGGAAAGATATAACCTGCTCCCCATAAAGGGAACTCCCTAATTGCTCACAGAGGAATCCATCCCAGCAGACTACCCATCCAGAGTCTGCCATTTTCCTAATCCCTTCTCCACCCACAGGAGGAGGTAAGCCTGTGACTGTTTCTGGACCTCATAAAGAAAAATATGCCAATGAAACTACAAAAAGCTTACAGAAACCAAATAGTGTGGACCACAAAAGAAAGTCCCTTGCCACATGATAATCCAAACCCCAAACAGAATAAAGAAGGAATACTAAAAGCAACCAAGGAAAAAGGCCAAGTAACATAAAAACACAAACCTATCAGAATTACATCTGATTCTCCATGGAAATTCTGAAGACCAGAAGGTCCTGGATAGATATTCTATAAACACTAAGAGACCAAGGATGCCAGTCAAGACTACTATCCCCAGCAAAGCTTTCAACCATAATAGTTGGAGAAAATACGATATTCCATTGACAAATCCAGATATAAACAATGCATAACCAATAATCCAGCCCTACAGAAAGTTCAAGAAGGAAAACTCCAACCCAAGGAAGTTAACTACACCCACAAAAACATAGGCAATAGATAATCCCACTTATCCAACAGGCAAAAGAAAAAGGGTGGAAATCCACACACAATACCACCAGCAGTAATAAATCCAAAACAAACAAGAAGGAACAATCAATGGACATTAATATCCCTCAGTATTAATAGTCTTAACTCGCCTATAAAAAGACACAGGCTAACAGAATAAATATGAAGACAGAATTCCTCCTTCAGCTCCATACAAGAAACACACCTTAACTTCAAAGACAGGCAGTACCTCAGAATAATGGGTTGAGAAAAGATTTTCCTTTTTAAAGTTTAAATTAGAAACAAGCTTGCTTCACATGTCAATTCTAGCTCACTCAGCCTCCCCTCCTCCCCTGTACCCACCAACCACCACCCCATTACCCCTATGATCCCTGGAGAGGATAAGGCCCTCCAAAGTGGGGAAAATATGTTCCAATCAAATGTACCCAAGAAACAAGTGGGTATAGCAATCCTGATATCTAACAAGGTAGACTTTAAAACAAATTAAATCAAAAGAAATGATGGAGGTCATTTCATATTCATCACAGGAGAAATCCATCAAGATGAAGTCTTAGTTTAGAACATTTATGCCCCAAATACAAAGACATCCACATTCATAAAAAAATTAGAAAACTCAAATCTCATATAAAACCTCACACACGTATAGTGGCAGATTTCAACACCTGACTCTACCAGTAGACAGGACAACCAGACAGAAATTAACAAAGAAACAAATGATTAAAAGAAGTTCCAACACAAGTGGATTTAACAGACATCTACAGAACATTCCATCCAAACACAAAAGAATATTCCTTCCTCTGAGCACCAAATGGAACCTTCTCTAAAATTGAACATATAGTAAGCCACATTGCAAACCTCAATAGGTAAAAAAAAAAAATTGAAAAAACACCCCGTATCTTCTCAGACCATCATGCTTTAAAGTTAGAATTCAACAACAACACAAATTGCAGAAACCATACAAACCCATGGAAAATGAACAAAGCACAATTGCAACATTTCTCGGTTGAGGAAGAAATAAAAAGAAAAGAAAATTAAATATTCCTAAAATTCAATGAGAATGTAGACACAACATACCCAAACTTATGGAACACGTTTAAAGCAGTTCTAAGAGAAAAGTTCATAGCAGTAACTGCCCACATGAGGAAACTGGAGAATATTCACATTAGGGAATTAACAGGACAACTGAAATCTCTAGAACAAAAAGAAGCAAACTCACCCAGGAAATAATCAAACTGAGGGCTGAAATCAATAAAGTAGAAACTAGGAAAACAATACAAAGAATCAATGTAACAAAAATAGGTTCTTAGAGAAAATCAAAAAGATATACACACCTTTATCAAAACATACCAAAAGGCAGAGAAGAACATACAAATTAACAAAATCAGAAATGAAAAGGGGGACATAACAACAGACACTGAGGAAATCCAGACAAACATCAGGTTATACTCTGAAAACCTGTACTCCACAAAATTGGAAATTATA